GAAAGAGAAGAGGGTGTTGTTGAAAGAGATGGAGAAAGGAGAGAAGCCAGAGGTGTGAAGAAGTAAATGGCAGACCAGGGCAGAGAGAATAAGCTAATAGGAGAGAAGAGCAAACGGGGAGGTCCTTTCTCCCTGTTTCTGATTTTATTTCTGATTTTAGGACTTACTGTTCTTTATACAGATTAGGCTTGATTTCTGGGTTCTAGTTAGTAAAGAGATATAAGGAAGATTCAGAGATGTAATCTGTATGAATTTAGGTAAAATAAGAAAACTTTAATTTTTAAAAGGTGCAACATTATATGAGGGGACTTTAAAAAGTTTGTGGGAAAATGGCATTATATTATGAGTTTATTTTGGGTAAAAAAATTTTAAATCAATCCATTGTATTTTTATAATGCACATTTCCATGAACTTTTTGAAGACCCCGTGTACTTAGGGTGTATTCGACTTTCTGTAGAGAGGTTTGAAGACAGGCTTCTTTGAAGTATACTTCACCTGAAATATATTGAACATGTAGTTCAGTTCAGTAATACATTGAAGTTCCATACAAAAGACATGTTTATTCTGACCTGGGGTTCAGTGAACTCAAGTTTCTTTGTTTTTAAATATTTTATTTTATTTATTCTTAATTTGACCAAATAGAGAGACAGAGAAAGTGGAAAGCAAGCTGTCAGGTTCAGGACTAGAATCGTGGTTAACCATGTGGGAGTCTAGTCACTCCAACTACCACACCACCTGCTGGCCCCAAACACAATTTTCTTAACTGTAGGTTGTGCCTGGTTTAAGAGATATTTTATGATACAGCAAAAAGTTTGATGTCATTACATTTTATATGCTCAATTGATACTTGTTTATGTTCTTACATTCTGTTTTAAATTTGTTACTGACTTCAGAGTTCAGGTAAGCACTTTCAAATATCACATTAAGGAGCCAAATAAGTATGCTCCTTATGTAAAAGTTAATTATCATCCTGCTAATACATTTTTTCACATTTTGGGTATTTCTTCTGTGTGAAAGGAGAAGTGCATTTATGTTGTATCTATGTCATCCGGCAAAGTCAGCGCCCCTGACTATTAGACTGTGTGATCACAGCTCAGAGCTCATATGTATCTTTGAGTGATAGTAATTATAACTTTGAGTTCAAATTGGAGGGAAGAACTGGTCAGCTATGTTGTTATGCTTCATTGTATCAGCCTGACACAAACTCCTTTCCCTCTTGCATGTCATCATTTTTATTTGAGGCAGGTTATCTTGCTTCTTGGTTAAATCTTTAAGATTCTTTTTGGTGTTTTTGGATTAATGGGTTCAAAGAGATTCCAACTTTATAACGTTTGTGCTATATATTAAGTATTGAATGTTTGACTTTGATATTCTTTTTCTTTTTATGTTTAAAAGGGTTGGTATTTCTTTATTTCAAAGAACTGCAAAAGAGGATATCGCCTTACCTTACAAAATAAGATTTAGGTTTGATTTACAACCACCACCAAAAAACATTTCTGTAAGTGAATATTTTATAATAGCAATAGATTCCCAAGAGAAATTGTTGAAAACCATCTGTATATATTTAGAAGATGCTCTTCTCTTTGGGATTGTCGAAATCACATTTTATTTTTTTAAAATAAAGAGGATTGATGTTTACTTTGAAAGGATGATTAGGATTTAGTTTTCAGAAGTTACACAGTAATGGCTCTTAAAGTTATAGCACTCTTT